TTCATTTTTTTTGGTTGATTTTTCTTTGTTAAATGGCATTTGAATATATAAAATAAATATCAAAAATATAAGTCTTTGTTTTACTATGGTTGCAAATATCAAAAAATTTCTATATGTGACATGGCACCAGAGTTAAGTTAGGGTTTTTCAAAATGCTGACACGCCGAGCTCAAAAGGTTCGCCATCACTGACCAATAGTCTTCAGGCTGCGAGAAAGAGAAATTTATTTCTAAACTTTCCATTATTTTTAAAAATTCTTTATTGTTTAAAGTATTACATGTGTCTTCTTTTTCTCCCATTGACCTCTCCCCGGCTGAAACTTTCTGTTGTTTCATGGCATGACATTTTGAAAGGCTTACTGCTGGGTGTCATGCACAGGACTTCAATCTCAGTCAGAGGCACATTAAAGAGAAGGGGTGAAAGGCTACGTTGCTTAATGGACTTTTCCTCTGATGTCTCCAGTGAGTGGCCATTCCATATTTCTACAGTTCAGCCCACGTTTCAAGTTTGAGAGCCCGTTTTTTTTTCCTCGCCATGGTTCATCTGCTTTCTTCCTGGGGAGACTTAAGACCTTGACCGCGGCGTCACTTAAGACAGGACGCTGTGGGGTTTGTGCACCTGAAGGGAGAAGTCTGACGCTAGACGAGAATCTTAACCCTTAATTAAGAGTAAGAAAACAAGCATTCTGCGTTTACCTTGGCAATGAGAGCACGGAGTGTTGCAAAGCAGTGAGTCAGGTAGGTGGTGCTCTGATCACAGCTCAGAGAATTCACCAGAACCCTTAGAACACCTCCCAGCAGGCTGTCTTTGCAGTCCAGAGCCGAGCTTGCCTGGGGGAACAGAACAGCATCACTGAATCCCTGAGTTGTGAACCGAGGGGTGAAGACACAAGTAGATGCTTCTGACAATCAGCACGGGGACCTGAAGTTCCGTTCCTCTTGATCGAAGAGCTTATGGGTTTGGTAAAGCACCACACATATCATCTAAATAACTATTCCCAAACTCCCAGTTGCTTTGGGGTTTATATCTGGGTTGTTAAACTAAGTTATAATCCCGGGCAATAGCTTTTGTAATGTTCTTTCTTTGTATGCAAGGTACAGCCTTCCTTTGAGCTTCAAAACACAGTTGTGGGCTTCCTAGTACAATAGGGGCTGAAGGAGCTTGTTTATCAGGTACAGTAAGATCAAAACCACCAAAGATAATGACAAGTTTAAGCTTTCTTTGAAACTTGCAAATACATTGTGAGGACGGGCGTTAAGTATATAGCACTCAAAGCTGTGTTATGTAAGGATATAATCAATGTGATGCCAAGCATTTAAGTTATCAAAGATGCCATATACTTTTTGTTTTTATTTTTGTACAATGATTGCCTTGATTTTAGACAACTTAAGAGTTGGATATTTAAAGTGCCACTGTATTTCAACAAGTTTTCTTCTCCTGGCCTCCAAAATGCAATACTAGTTCTACTCTAATGACTTCTCACTGGAAACATGTCAGGACTCATTTTTCAGGTTAACTAAAAAATCCACTGTCACCTAGATGTCTTGGTAATTTGGGGAAACATTCACTTAGAAGATGAAGTGAGTGTGATGAATTGTATTACTGTTCACAGGGATGCTACACTTTTCTACAGCAGAAACGGCGAGTTTATGGCACAAATAAATTACTTTCCAATTTGTATGCAAAACAGACACACTCTTTTTTACACCTAACCCAGTCATAATCTTAGCTCCTCTACCAGATATCAATAACTCAAGTGGAGCCACCAAAAAACGCCCCTAGCTACCATCCTTATTCTGGATACTGGATGATAAACCCAGTATTCACATTATAAATTTGATACATTCCAGCAGATTTAACTACAAGGGTCAGCTTATAAAAAGCATCTAACTCCTCCAGGTGAACAGCAAGTTCAAAGAAGCCTGAAGAATTTTCATTATCTCTGGAATTTGTAATTCGGACACTGTTGTAAACTGTGTAACTTCATTTTTTCAAAAAAAAGGCATTTAGGGATCATGTTTATTTCTCTTACAAGTTTCTATAAAGAATTCTTTATTAAATTTCAGTATGTTCGCGCTGAATAGAGCAGGTGTTTGTTGTCCTCACCTGGATAATGTTTTCCTGCATGTCCAGGATGATTAAATTTGCTTCTGTCGCTAGATTGCCACTGATCAAGGCTTCTTGATCTAACTCTGCCTTTGTTCTAAGAAATAAAAAAGAGGTCAAATTCGAGCACATGTCAAACCTGGCTGTATCGCAGCGATAGCAATCTATGCAACAAGGCATAAAGACATTTTCTGAAGAGTCGGATTGGAGTGAATACAGAGCAACGGCAACACGGGTAACGAAGAAGTGCAGGGTGCCTTTTGTGGTTGGTGTCTGGTTAAAAAGGTTTTCTAGGTGGAGTCTCCAGGCCATCCTCATCCCCATTATTATAAGTAATGATGGCAATTACAGAAATAACAAGATGGGTAGAAAGGCAATTATTGGTTGCTACTAGCAATGAGGCCAGCCAATCAGACTGCTGCAGAAGGCCTTGGGGGCCATTCCTACATTTCATGCAGAAAAACCATCTCCAGATCTGAGCCAAGGGCAGCCTCTGCAAGGAACTGGAGGGAGTGAGGAGACTGGGTGTGATGTGAATTTGGCAACGATGCTGCTGGATCAGGAAAGGGATTCAGGGAAGAGGCTGTCTCTTGCCCTCCCTGAGACTGCCTTGGGGTTGCATAGTCAAGTGCTGGCCTTTCATCCTTTTCCAATGGGAAGCAGGATTGCATTCTTGTGGGGTGGGCCATCTAACATCCTCCCAGATGTTCCTTACTGGCTATTCTCCATGAGGGCTGTGGTTCTCAACCTTGGCTGCCCATTAGAATCACCTGGGAATCTTTTTAAAATCCTGATTTCTGGGCCTCATCTCGGAGGATTTTAAAAAGATTCCCAGGTGATTCTACTGGGCAGCCAAGGTTGAGAACCACTGCCCTAGGGAATGGGAAATTGCCTGGTGCCCCTTCTCTACTAGGTTTCATTTAAAGGACTCCGAGCATTGTACACATTAGTTCATCCATTTTCATAAAATCCAAGTGAAGTTGGGAAAGGAGATTTTGCCTCATCTAATTTAGTTGCCAGGAAAGGGAAGTGTAAAA